CAAAATGCTGGCTTGCATCCATAGATGCTTCTCAAGCAAATCCCGGGACGTCATTCTCCCCCTGTACTCGGCCTTAGTGAGGCCGCAGCTGGAGTACTGCGTCCAGTTTTGGGCTCCACAATTCAAAAAGGATGTGGAGAAGCTTGAGAGAGTCCAGAGAAGAGCCACGCGCATGATCAGAGGTCAGGGAAGCAGACCCTACGATGACAGGCTGAGAGCCCTGGGGCTCTTTAGCCTGGAAAAGCGCAGGCTCAGGGGTGATCTGGTGGCCACCTACAAGTTTATCAGGGGTGACCACCAGCATCTGGGGGAACGTTTGTTCACCAGAGCGCCCCAAGGGATGACGAGGTCAAATGGTCACAAACTACTTCAAGACCGTTTCAGGCTGGACATAAGGAAGAACTTCTTTACTGTCCGAGCCCCCAAGGTCTGGAACAGCTTGCCACCGGAGGTGGTGCAAGCGCCTTCATTGAACACCTTTAAGATGAAACTGGATGCTCATCTTGCTGGGATCCTATGACCCCAGCTGACTTCCTGCCCTTTGGGCAGGGGGCTGGACTCGATGATCTTCCGAGGTCCCTTCCAGCCCTAATGTCTATGAAATCTATGAAATTAAGAGCATCCAGGGGCAAAGGCAGAAGCAGAACTTGGAGCCACCACACTCCCTTCATTCAGTCCTCTCTAGTCACAGCTGTGAATCAGATGCTAGTCCTTGCCTAGGGTTTCTGTCAAAGAGGTGTTTTGGCATTATGAACAGCCTGCAGGGCATTGAAGCTCAAGGCGCTAGATGCAGTCGAGATGTATGGATCCTGTGAAACCATGCACAGGAAACTAGTAAATAGCACCGTATGGATTTCTCGTGAAATCTGTGATAGCCAGTTTCTCTGCTCAGGTCACTAGACACAAGGGTCCCAATACATCCTCTCTCTACAAGCATGGTCAGAACAGCACACACAAAGCCAGTCCTGTACAACTCTCCTGACATTTCTGGGGTGATGCCCTGAACCCCTGCAAACAGAAAGCTTTTCAGGATACTTAGTTTAGCTACAGGCTCCCTTCAAAAATTCCACCACAGAACCCACTTCAACTCGTTCCCATCCCGGCCTGACAATTAGGGCACCTATACACATGCAGGGAGGCTGCTCTGATGTGCTGTAATTACAGTGCACCGGAGCAGACTTGATTAATCGAGTCTGCTGGAGCGTGGTAATTACCGTTACATGTATTAGTGTCCCTGCGTTGAAAAATGGTGGCAGGAGCACTTTATCTAAAGCTCAAACAAGCTTTGAAGTGCCCCCACTGCCATTTTTCAGTGCAGGGACACTAATACACGTGATGCTCCAGGTGCTTTAATTGGAGTGGCTCTTGTACCCACTCTAATTAAAACGCCACCCTTCCTCCCCAGAGCACATATATAAAGACCATTAATGTTACAGGGGGCACGTCTACACAGTGCCCTACAGCGATGTTGTTATTGTGCTGTGCTTTAGTACTTCCTCTTGGAAGTACTAAAGCACGGTGCAATGACCTGTAATGCACTGTGCACGTGGTGCATGGTTATTTTTAGCACCTATTTCGCCATACCGACACGCTATAACAACGCTGCTATGGTGAAGTAGCTGCTGGTCATGTGTAGACACCTATGGATGCTACATCACCGTAGTGTGTCACTATGGTGACGTAGCATCATATGTAGATGCATCCGGTATGTTTTTTCCTCATGTTCCACCCCAGACCCAGCTGCATGTTGCTTCTGGGTAAAATGAGTTTATACCAGTGATTCTCAACCAGGGCGCTGTGGCACTCTGGGGTGCATTCAGCTCCTTTCAGGGGTGCCATGGGGTCCAAGCAGTATTAGCACCGTGAGGTGTGTAAACACAATTCACAAGATAACCCCAGAGATTTCAAACAGGAATCCATAATGCTGAAACCTTTCTGATCTGTTGTGGTCTTTCTGAGTTCTTTGCAACAGAAAAGGTGCTCTATTAGTTTTCTACAGTCAAAGAACAAGTGAAAACTAAGATCTGGCATTTTCCTCGATGCTAATGAGGAGTGCCTTGAGTCTATAAAGGTTGAGAGCCACTGGTTTAGATGTACATAGTCTACAAGACACAACAGGCCCATTCCAGATGAATGGCACTGTAGGAGAGTGTCTATTAGTAATACAGGCATGATAAATCATGGCCTGGAAATGGAAAAACACAGTGAAGAGGTGGGAAGGAAGCCAGTGCATTATTTCCAGGTAACCAACTAAGCTGCTGAGCAAGAGAGATGGAGGGGGTGGGGGAAGAACCATAACACTTTTGCTTAACATAATTCCCCAAAGCAGGGGTGGCCAGTCTGCAGCATAGGTGCCACGTGTGGCAGAAGAAGCCCTGGTTTGTGGCATGTGGCAGACTGGGGAGGGGACAGGCAGCATAGTGGCAGATGGGTCCAGAAGCAGAAAGCAAAACAGTAGAATGGACAAGAAACACAGGGGAGAAAGCAGAAAGCAGAGCAGCAGATCAGGAAGGGGAAGGGGATTCAGAGTGGTAGCTGGGGACAGCACAGGGCAGATTGGTGGCACCTTCCAAGAAGGCTGACTCGCACTCCCCAAAGGATGGCATTTCTTGTAGCTTTCCCTTTTTCTAGCTTCCCATTTGGAAGTTTGGACCCATGACAGCTGTAGGTGAAAGAGTCTGCCAGAGAACCGGCCTAGTCGACTGGCAGAGTGAGCAGAGACAGGCAGCTTGTTGCTGCCCTGAGAAACCGAAAGGTAAAAACCATCAGCACTGTGAACACGGGGCCAACAGCACGTGCTGTCTGTAGCAGGAAGCAAGCAGCTGTGGTTTGCAGTCCTCTGGGCCCAGGCACAGTTCCAGAAGAGACACTCTCACCCCACCCCCTCCATCAGTAGTAGGATAAGAGCTTCATGCGTGACCCCAGGTCCGGCGCTCTCATGCATGCACCTACCTCTAGAAACTGGGCGCTGACTTTGAACTCCGGGGCTGCCACGCCTTGGTCCTGTGCTGCCCGCTTGCGCTCCTCGATGCCGCTGAAGAGGTGGGAGATAGCACGTGGGATTATCCCCTGCTCCTCATCAGAAATGTTCATGTCAAAGCCAGTGCCCATTGTGTACGTCTTACCAGCTCCAGTCTGAAAGGGGCAAGACACAAGCAGTCAGACAGCTGCCCTATGGCACAACATGCAGAGTATGGCAGAGGGGCTTCAGTCCTGGACCCAAACCATCCAGTGCTGCCAGTAGCCTCCACTACAGCCTGTAGCTTCCACCCAGCTCTGGGCTTCCCACACACGCATGGATCCACTGATGCCCAAGCTGCACTTGCTGCCTCATTATTCTAGTCCTAAGCTCCCCCTCCACTAGCCCTGCCATAACCCCAGACCAAACCTGCAGATTCCCAAACCTCAGTTATTCTTGCCCAGACCCTCCAATAGGTTTGGCTGATGCCTCAATCCCAGCTCCCTCCCCTCTTCTATCCCAGGTCTAAGCCTCTGCCAGAAAACCTCCCCACCAGCCCGCAGCAACACCTACCATCTCCCTGCAGGAATCTCCCCATGGCTTTGCTGGTGCAGGGCTCAGTGGCTAAGCAATACACAGCATGGTTACACTGGCCAAGACACAGAGACAAGGAACTCCGGTACCTGTCCATATGCCAGCACAGTTGCATTGTAGCCTTCAAAGCAGCCCTCTATGAGCTTGCCAACACAAGTAGTGTAGATCTGTTCCTGCCACGTTTCCAGGTCAAAGACAAAGTCATAGGTGAAGGCCTTGTCCTTTCCCAGCAACACCTGGGGCTCCCCTGGCGTTACTGAAGTGCAAATGTGGCATCCTTCAATCTTCTCTTTTGACAGCTGAGGACGGATCCTGCAGAGGAAGGGACAAAAAACATTTAAAAGAGGGGTCAAAACAATCTTATCCCTCCCAGGGCAGTCTGCAGCATGGAGTGCCTCACTGCATGGGGTCACTCTGCCTGACACTAGAATGCAGCCACCTCTGGGTTGGAGTTGCAAAGTCTGGGCCGGGAATGCCACACCCAAGGGAAATTGCAGGATGCAGCCCATAGGTGGGAACTGGCACATGGCCAGGTTTAAGCGCCCTACACATTAATTCCACCCCAAGGAACATTGCTTGTCCTTCCCTCTCCTGCACCAGGTGCCTGAGGGAATGAACCAAGCAGGTGTTTCCCTAGTGGGTGGACATGAACCATGTTCTTCCCACCCCAGCCACTTCTGCTCCAGATGCTAGTCAGCCAAATTCTCTAAGTCACAGTGGACCAGTATGGATTGCACTCTTCCTTTCCTCCCCATCCTCCTTAGCACGTTGGACAGACTCCTCCCAAGCAGGCTCTGAGATGCATGTTGTACCCAGTCAGGATGGGTGAAGGAAAGATCTGCTCCAGGGGTAGACTAGGGATGGTAGAGTTTGGAGACCCTAGCTGGTGAGGGGTGGGAATGGGCCCTGTGGCTTGCTTCACTGAGTTCAGGGCATGGAGAGAGTGGAACAATTGGAGTGGGGAGCTGTCCCCGGGGCTGGGTATTGGTGGGGGAAGTTGAGTCGGGAGTCAGGACATAGCTAGTTGTTAGAAGGACAGCTTTCATTAAACAAGCAGTGCAAGGGAGCTCATTGATAAAAAGTACCAACATAAGGAGGTGAAGAGGCAACAGAGTTCTGGCCATGTACCAGAAGACCAGTTACAGCAGTGGGAGGGATTGGGGAGTGATGCAGCATGGGATGCCTGGAAGACTGACCAGACTTGTGTCACGGACCACTTGATGTCCACATGCAACATCAAACCAACTCACAGTCAGTTGGTTCAAAAGAGGACCTGATTTTCCAGGTATACTTTTGAACCATTCTAAGCAGCTTTACACTGGTTTAAACAGGTTTGCCTGTCTGTCCACATGATGTTTAAACTGCACTCTAAGCCTCGTGTGTCCACTATCACTGTCTATATTCTCCCCCTATTGCTCTTCCCTAGAGCAGCTGCTCTCAGAGTTGGTTCACCTGGGGGCTCCCACTGCCTCCTGTGTGGTTCAACTCCAAAGCTTCCCCTTTCCCTCCCCAGTCTTGTGGGCTGGACTCCTCTTTCCATTATAGCAGGGCAGGTCCGTTTGGTAGTAGCCACCTGCCTGCTTGTTACTTCTGTTCCCTTGTTTTAGAGCAAGCATTAAAAAAAAAAATAAAAAAATCATGGTAGGTTTTAAAACAGGGATGAAAAAAAGCCCCACAAACACAAAAACGCAGAATAAATAAATAAATAAATAAATAAAAAAGCTGATCTTTTCTTTCAACCAGGAACCCATTTCCCTCCCACGCCCCCCATTCCATTCAAGTTCAGATTCGGCTGACACGACAAAATTACAGTTCAGATTCAAATAAAAAAAAATACCCACTGTAACCAGTTTTCCAGTTCTGGGCTGACTCATTGCCACTGGGCCTGCCTGGGCGGGTGCTTTAGAGAAAATAAATCATCTCAAATTCATCCTTGAGAACAGTTAAATAAGAAATAAGCGCCATTCAGGATTCAAAACGAGAGCTGGAGAGGGAGCCATATTGCACTAGGGCCACGGGTGGAGTAGGACCCCTGGAAGCCCTGCCTGTCCTACTAGTGCCATTCACCAGAGCAAAGATACCATACAAGTACTGCAGTGACAGAGCACACGCCTCTCCAGGTCTCTTGCTCTCCACAAAATCAAACATATTCTCTGCAACAAATAGTGTTTTGGAACCAGAACTGTCCCCTCCATACAATACCCCCCAGCTATAACCCAGATACCACCCTAGGAAATAATTCCCCTTCGTTAAATGCAACACGGGCACTTGCAAAGCATTTGATCACATAAATAACTGGATTCTTTATTTATAAACTGGAATACCAAACAGCTGCTAAAAAAAAATGTGACAGCACTGCCAACCCCCAGCACCCTCAAAATCATGAGACTGATCCAAGGAATGAGGGGGTCTCTTTATTGGATTTTTGGAGCCTTGGAGCAGGGGGGCATTCAGTTCATATGCCTTGGCACATATAGCTGTAGAAGGCTTAGTGGAAAAAATAGCTTATATTCATAAAAAAACCAAACCCCCCCAAGAAGAATAACTTCTTCATGGTTCATGAGACCAGACTCTGGAATAGACTCCCAGCAGGAGTGGTGCAGGCACCTACCCGGGAGATCTTCAAAAGGAGACTGGATGCTCCCCTTGCTGGGGTTATTTGACCCCCGCAGTCTTTCCTGCCCAGCTAAGCATCTCACAGAATCCAGAGACTCCAAGGCTTGGACTTTGTGAACAACACCAGGTACCAGACTCAAGATGGTAGCAGTAGTGTTGCCGATGATCTGAGTGAGCAAATGGTACGCTGGGATAGCACTTTTAGATATGCTAAAAGCCCCAGGGCCCCCAATCCGAGTGGAAATCTTTAGGCACTATGGAAATATAAACATTAATCAGTGAAATGGCAACAGCAGTGATCACAGACTCATGTTTTATTAAAATGGAAAAAGAGGGTTTTGTGGAGGTCTCAAGCCCACAGAGAGCAGAGGCCAGGGGGTCTTCACTTACCTGGAAGAAGTAATAGAATTAGGGTCTTGTTGAGCCCAAGCCCTTTGCCTCTGCTCATTTCATTGGTTAAGTGCAAGCTTTATCTTCACATTGCCACTCACTCATCCTTCCCCCTGTCCTGCAGCGCAGCATATTAATAATGCCCAGCTTTTACAGAGCTCTTGTCATCAGTGCACACTGCAAGGGCAGATCTCCCCATCTCTAAAAATGGGGTACTGAGGCACAGAGTCGGGAAGTAACTTGTGTGTGGCCACCCAGCAGGACAACAGCAGAGCCAGGAGCACACGCAGGCATGTCCTGCTGTTCAGTTCAATTCTCTATCCATGGAGCTACACTAAAATAAAAGATGTTGACTTTACCCACACAGAAAGCAACTACACCAGGGGCAAAGCACAAGAGAGTTAGGTCTTGTTTGGTTTGGGGGGGCTATACTTAGCTCTGGGGATGCTATTCTAAGAATGGGAACATCAGTCTCATCCTGGAAGAGGTTTATTTATAGGATTTGAGAGAAGTGACTCACCTGAATGCCTGATACTAGCAAACACAAGCACAAAATTAGATAAGAATAGCTCAAAAAGAGGTTATTCTCTGATATCACTAAATACAACGGAAAAGCAACAAACCTACAGAGAGGCATAGAAGCTCATTCACAGAAGTTTCTCACCAGCTGGTTGAGAAAGAATTTTAGACAAACAAAAAACTCTTCATAAGAGGATCCAGTTGTTAAAAAATTGTGTGCTTTTTTTTTTTTTTTAATATAAAAAGACATTTCTTTTGTGAAAAATCTCACATTATTTTCTGGGAGGAAGAAGACAGTTGGATAGAAAGTTTGCCCACTAGTCTATTTATCATAGCAGTAGGCTGCACTGAAGCCTGGTTTGAGTGTATTACGTCAGAGAGGATTTTGGCCTTTGTTTCTGGTGTTCAGAGTGGTCCACACTGGTAAGCCTTTCATGAGAGCCTCCCGCCTGGCTTCACGACCTGGAGTGCGGTTTGGTACAATTTCAAAAGGGGGAGGCAGGAAGAAACGTCTATGTAAAATATCCTTCTCTTATGAACTGGCCC